TGTACGGGAGACGAGATTGTTCAGACCACACTGTCACTCCAGCTCTGGATCAATAATCTTTGATGTATAAAATATTACAGCATTACAATACACAATGTAGTAAAACCATGAATATAATACAGCACATAAATACTAAATTATATGATTTTACTGTAAAGCTCATTCCTTGGGAACGTTTATTTCAAACCTAACCTGTCTATAATTTAACCCAATAGAAACCTGACTGATGAATTAAGTGAAACATTAATTGCTTTATGAAGATAATATATTATTTGTGTACTCAGCACACAAATACAGGTCAGGGGCCAGGCGTTTAGTTTAACATGTGGTCAGTCTAATATGACATAATCTCTCATCCCTGTCCTTTTCTAAACATTGTTTGTAAAACAATACCGTGTAAAAGCACAATAACACCCATAGCATAACAAAAATATATTTGCCCTTAGTATCAGATCTGTGGCTAAAAGATAAGCTTGTGGGAGTTTTATATTCTGAGGGCAGAAAGAAAAATGATTGGTGAAGAGAGATAACCAATCAGATTGCAGAGCAGGTGGGTCTAAGCAACTAGAGGAGGTGGGACTAAGGCATCTGATTGGTTGGCCCCACCTCCTTTTACAATCTGATTAGCTATCGCTCTGAACCAATAATTTTTCGTTCTGCCCTCAGCATTTTTGTGTAAGTAAAATTCTCATGAGCAAAAGATGTGGATTTGTTACACTGAGTTTGTACTTGTATCCGCTACTGAGGTCATGGATATGTGAGCTGTAGAAAGTTCAGTTTCACACAAAACTCTTAAAGCAGAACCAGTTTCTCATCCCAGTGACATGGAAGCCTGCCTGACCTTGAGAACATTGGCTGTCCCATTAATGAGGTCATGACTGACGACGCTTTGCTGCCGGACTTAATCGGCAACATGGTATCAAGCCAAACCTTAAACATTCTCCCTTCACCACCACCCCCACTTCCTGGCAAAGCTCTCACCGGAAACACTACAGGAAATGCCTTACTGGCAAGCAGGGAATGTGTTGCTGATCTTAACCTTCCAAGGCCAGCATTTATTCATGTATTTCTCTGACCAAGCCCCTGACCGGACCTCCCGCCGTAGCCGCGGATCTTTTGGGGGGCCGGTTTGGGAGGCGGAGACAGCGTGGTACCTACGCGGTAAGAGGCCTGCTCTTCTTAATTTCGAAAAACTGCGTCCCGGTGTGATTGTACCTGTAAGTCACAGTTAAGTGCACAACAGAGGGCGAGTTCAACTACAAGGCAGCAGTACTTTCCAAGACACATCCCCCTCCCTGGGAATTACCTGTGCATCCCGAGGGCCTGAGACAGAGGCCCAGAGCTTCTCTAAAACACCAATGACCTCATGATGCTAAAAAACACCACGGGTCAGCATCCAATACTTCTGCTTTTCTAAATTTAAGCCCCTTGGGAATTCCTCCTTACAGTGGACCCATGTTTGCGCTGTTGTTTGCAATCAGCTGTCTCGTTCGATGGCCGATATTAATCTTTTCCTCACTTGCTACCTCTTCACTCCCATTAAACATTAGCTGACTTTTTCACGCAATGTACAAAGGTTGATGTATATCATGTATACACTACCAGGCAAAAGTGTTTGCACACCACAGGTTTTTCACCCTTTTCCATTAATTTCACAACCTGTAGATTTTTTATTCTTGTATGTCAACTATAAATGAAAATATAAGTCAAATAAAACGAGTTTCCTTTATAACATGGAAAGAGTATGTAACAGTGCATGTCTGACATCCTATTACCTGGTTGTGTGGTGATGGCATAGTCAAATTCTAGGCTGTCCTTTAACTTTAAATGTGCTAGTTAACTTTCATCCCATGAAACAGAGCAGTTTAATGTCCCTTGTAGAAAGAATGCCTCAGATTTTCTCTGCTGTTGTAACTGCTAGAGGAGGTGACTTTGATGAATCAAACATATCACATTTTCTTAATAATAAAGATACTCAAATGGTGAACATACTATAAAAATTATATGTTAGCAAAAAATATTGAGTGTACTTTAGTAAATGGTAAGTGAGTAACTTGCAAATGTAGAAAATCTCAGGGTGCAAAAACTTTTGACTGGTAGTGTATATCATGCATATTTTGTAATAGGAATGTACTGAAAACTCAGCTATCATGACAGAACATTGACCCAAGTAATTCAAAGCCAGAAAGCAGAACCCATGGGGTATTTGAACTGTGGCGTTATGCGAATATCTGAAATTGCTCCCATTGCCGTAAGGGACCTTTATTTTTATTTTTCAGAGGCTTCTCCTTTTAGACCATCAGCTGACTCATCCAGGAAGCAGAAAGGCCTCATGGGAAAGCAGCAAAAAAGGATACTGCAAGTCCCTGATGTATCGCTGTATGGCTTCCAGTCGCTGTGGGACGGTAGCGGCTGGCTGGTACGTAGGCACGCTCGGTGTTGGAATCTGTGGGGCAGAGGGAGACAGAGGCAGCTGCGGGGGGTGGGGGGTGTCGCACAATTCACGCATTCACGGCAGACGGAGAATGCCCCGTTGTTCAGACTTCCACGTCCTCCCTGCGGCGCAACGTGACCCCGAAACGCTCCCCACAAGCCTGTGGAAGCGGAGTCCCCACGGAGGACAGAGATGGCATTTTCCACACACCCCCCCCCCCCCCCCCCCCCCCCCCCCCCCCCCATGGAAGGGGGTGGGCGGGGGGGGGGGGGGGGGGGGGGGGGGGGGGGGGGGGGGGGGGGGGGGGGGGGGCTCTGCTGAGTAACGTTAACAGTCAGAGTAAGTGACACTGGCCCATGGCTTCAGATCATTAAAACTCACAGCCTGTTACCAAGTTACCAAGCACAGACACATGCGATGTCATTGGGGATTTAAAACCTCCTGCTTACTGTTCTGGCAACCACACAGCTAGCAAAATTGATACACGCAATACAATATAAAAATAGCAATGCAGACATATTAAAATACATTAAATATAGATCAGTATAGTTTAATGGAGCAATTTAAGTTTAGTAACTTGTTAAAGGTACTACACTTCTCAGCATAGGCTTTGAGTCCTTATCCTGGGATAGTAATGCTACCTGTTGGCTAATCTTACCACACCTGTGGGATTTACTCTCTTCTGTACAGAAACATGTCAGTGGGGCACCGACAGTCTGTAAATATCCAGACAAGCGAGACTAAAGGTCACATGGGAAATGGCTTCAGAGGAAGGGCTGTGTCTTTGTCCCTGTCCCTCAGACTGGCAAGTGTATTTCATTGCTGTGCTCTGAGTGTGAACACGCCTTACGTGATGAAGGCACAGCACAACACCATCCTCTTCCTCACGCTGACACTCAGGCCATAACCAGTCACCAGGAATAATTCCATCATCACATGGTCTTTGCTCAAGAGTTTAAAGTTTAGCACTTTTTACATCCCTTAATGGATGTAGATGTTTACTATTGATTCAGGTGTTTTCTCAAAGGTACAGCAGCCTGCCCGATCCCGGATCTGATGCCGCAGTTCCCCAGGGCTCAGCTGGGACCATCCTTACCTTAGGCAGGTCGGTGGCTCCCCTGATCCTCCTTGGTACGGCGTCCCCCTCGGGGTGAATCCGGGCCACGTGCCGCCACATGCGCTCCCACGTCTCCTCGTTGATAGGCAGGCCGCCGCGGTTCACATAGAAGGGGACCCCTCCGTCCCGCAGATCCTCATCCCCCTCGTCCTCTGGCTCCCCGTCTCTCTGTGCCTCCCCTTCACCACAGACGGCGTTCCGCTGCACGCCTGCCGCGGCCCCGGTCCTGCCCCCTGGCATGGCGGCGCCCCCTGTCAGCCTGTCTCCGGCCCGAAACAGGCTCTCAGAAGCAGGCACTGCCACAACAGGTGAGTGGCATCCGGCAACTCCAGCGACAATGGGCACAGCCCAACTTCACAGGTATATTTTTGTATGTATAGTCAGCGTTTTCAATTTACCACGGATGTAGCACAATGCTTTCCTAGTCACCAATACCACAGTAATTCAGATCAACTGATACTTACGTAATACATTCAGAGCACATTCCTGAAATAACAAAATACTTTTTAACAATTACTACTTGTTACATAAAATAACTTACTGCTGAACTGGGTATGTTTTGTCACTGTACAATTTCTTAACATCATAGGGAACGCCTAGTCAAGTAAAGGAAGAGTAATTTGAATTTAAAATACCCTTACAAAATGTAACAGCACTAATAAGTAACAAAATCGATGCCTACAGCTTCACACGAAACGACACAGGAAAAAACAAGTTAAGCCGTATAAAAAGTGCCGATTTCCCGCACGTTTCCTGCAGAAATCTGCCACAGTTCACAGAACTAAGACAATGCGCTGAGTCAGTCGCCAAGTAAAAAATCCTCACGGACGTTAAAGCTGGCGAGCCGGCGATCAGTACTGCGGATCGAAACAAAAACGTGTACAAACGACTGGAAATAATTAAAAACTACAGCTGACACATGAAGCATCACAGCACGGTACCTAGAAGCATAAAGGGATGCATCATCGCCCGGAGGAAAACACCGTTAGAGATCAGTTGCATTTAGACCGGAGGTCATATAGCCCACGATCAAAGCGCCGTGTGCTATTTCTAAATCGGCCAGTGCAGCCCGATGATCGGCCTGGCCGTCAGTATTCCACCGTTATCCATCCTGCCGTAGCGTGCTTTTATCCACGCCGATTTTATGTACACCGCAGTCCCGCGGAGGCTGCATGCAAACTACCCCACGCTCCTGTCACACCGAGTGCCGCTCAGACACGCCCAGACGGCCTCGTTCCGCGCATGCGCGCCGGCTTGTCGCCCGCCGACCCTCGCCGTGCCGTTGGGTGGTCGCGTACCGACACCTCAGTGCGATTTTACCGGTCACACACCCAGCTTATGACTACTAATTGAATTGATCAGTACCCAGAGGCAATACGTTACTTCGCCTTATTAATTTTTATCTAAAAGCAACACATTAAGACAAATAGAAAACAATAATACAAAGCATAAGAATTGCGGAAACACAACTTTAATACAACAATACTTGTATAGTGAATTGCATTGTATATCTGATCCAAATACAACATTGTTCACACAACCAAAACATAAAGTCTGGGTACTCTGGGGCCAAAGGAATGCAATTACATTTTTCTAAACAAACCCTGCACATAAAAACTACATAAATAGTATTGTGCAGGTATAGACAACTGCTCATAGTAGAAAATGAAGTTAATATTGAATTAAAACAAAGTCAATGGATTTTAGAAAACTGATTTCAAGATTCACTTATATTAGCTGGTCAAACCTGTAACCCAGAATATTAGGTCTTTACATTAAGATGAATCCTGTAAATAGGGGAAGTTTGCATCCAAAGTAGTACAATGATCCCGACACCAGCTCCATGTAAGTAGATGTTCTGCTCCATGTCCATCCCTGTCCAGGGTTAAAACCTTGGAGCACCATAGTCATCTGGCATCCTTTCAATGTTATACCTGCATAAAAAAATAATTACACACATCAAAATGAAGGGGAGTCCAGTAGAAGATTTTCCAAAATGTTAGGATATATTGATCCGAGCTGTGAGAATTTCAGGCCCGTGTCAAATCATGCCAGGTTAGGAGCTACAGACGAGGTCCTTGGCCAGAGGCTATCCGGTGCAGATTCACATAATGGCATTTGAGAAAGCATTAACATCTGATCAGTTCACAGTGTTTCTGAACTTCGGGGGGGATGAATGACTGCGAGCTCTGCAAATTAAAGGCAGGAATGGCTAGTTATTGATGGGAATCCTCACCTGTGGTTGGAGATGTACATGATTGGCACTCCTGGGATCTTCCTGACCCTTCTCTTCAGATCTCTGTCCACCGTGGCCAAAATGTAACACTTGTGCTGTTTAAGTGTAGAGTGAGTACCACAGTTATTTGTTAGGTAACTCATTTGTCACTTTAGACACCAGCACAGGCTTATATGTTTAATATGGCTTCAGTTAGGGATGTACCGATACCATTTTCTCAGACCGAGTATGAGTACTGATGCTTGCTTTGTGGTATTCACTAACACCAAATAGGGATGTGTGATGTCTAAAAAATGATGTGTGGTATTTTAACTTAAAAATATTGGGAAAATGATAATACTGCAATCCCCACCACCACAGCACCAAGCAGGGTTCATTATTAAGCTGGAAAAAAGAAAAAAAAAGTGAAAGCCTTAAGAAGAAACGATATACAGACAAAAAGCCAGCATTAAGGCTTTTCAACTGGAGGGTGGGGGTGGGCGATCATAGCAGTGCTGATCATCGCTTTTTAGGCTCTGTGGAATACGATGGATCAGTGGGTGTTAATTATGATTTAGAAATGTCACTCTAAATCCTCTAAAGCAGTGCTTCACAAATGTTTCATACCTTGTACCACCTCAAAAAATATTACCATTGCAGTGCCTGATCGACACTGAGTTTCTGTCATTTTCACTACGTGAGGTTTATCATTTGCCGTTTTCTTTCTCTGTGCTGCAAGTTTGATTGTTTCAGGGTGTTGCTGCTGGTGTCCATTTCATCACTCTTTCTTATGTTCAATTTTTAGATATTTGACTTGATTAATACTTTTATATGAACCTGATTTTGTACCTCCGCTTAATAATTTAGTTGAACAGTTTGCTGTCCTCTATGCTTAGGATTTGGATCAGACTTCATACCAATACTAGTAACAGTACTGGTGCATCCCTACCTAAATACCAGGGTCTCTGTGCTAGCAGTCTTACCTGTGTGACCCTCTGGACTAAACAGTCGTCAGCATACGTTCCACTGTGTGAGCAAGGCAGTCTCTCAAAGCGAGGATCCTTTGCTATCCTGTAAAGGAGGCATGTCAATTTCATATTATCATTCATATTATTACACATACATATTATACATAGTACCTTTCATAGGAACCTATCCCTGAATGAAGTACTGGGGTCCAAAAATCCATGTGTCCTTTTTTGCACTTTACCTACCTTAGAGCGACTCGGTACTTCATCCCCAGTTTCTCGATTTCAGCCATGACACAGTCTGTGATGTAGGGGATGCCTTGGAACAGACAGAAACGATATTCAATTTCAACATGTACTACCTTATTAGAGCTGTAAAGTGATTGCAGGTCTGTCCCTAAGTGTGAAACACTTACACTTGGCGTAGAGACAGTCCATCATGGATTGCACTATGTCAAGTTTGGCCTTAATTGAAAAATTGATGAAATTAGTGTCGACCAGGATGTGGTAGGGGGGACCCAGCTGTGTGTTGTACTGGAAGAACAGACATGATGGGTACTTTGTCCTGGACACAGAATGAAAGGTTTGGGATGAGCCACATAAAAATCCGATTTCAAATTTGCATAACTGAACAATGTAACATCAGTACACTCCATTCAAGCACAACTACTGAGGCAACTATTTCTAAGTTATTTAGCTTCACTTACACTTCTGTCACTTTTAGCGCTGAGGGGTCTTTCTTCTTCTTCACCTTTTCTTTTGCACGATCTTGTGGTTTTCTTGGGAACAACATTAAAGAAACAGTTATGACAAATTAATGTTCTGTCAGGATGCTGCAAGTCTACCTACTACAATATGTTTGACAGCTTTATGGTTGATGAATGTAAATGTAAAATTTAAGGCTTTTTAGAGTGACGACCTAGAGAGAGTGAAATGATCCTCGCATGCCACACGCAAATTCCACACAAAGAGCGGGGTCGGCAATTCTTATAAGGCAAAAATGCTACCCACTGAACCATTGAAAATGTTATTATTAGTAGTATTAATTATAAATAAGAAACTTACATCCTGTGATCCTTTAAACTAATCATTCTTTTCATCACTGCGTACTTTTTTGTCTTCTGTTTACCCTTTAAACCGAAAGGAAACATTAAAGATTATAATAAAACAACGTTTATGAACACTTGACAAGATATCTCAATTCTAATCACATACATTGATACCCTAAAACAAAACAGGAGTTAAATATTGTTGACATTCACATCAGTTAATCTTTCTACAAGTCAATCCTTCTGACTGATGTCAGCAGACAGCGGTCATTTTTTATTTCCAGCTTGCTGCGAGAAGAAAACTTTAATCGATCAATCCCTAACACTATCCTTACGAATATGCTTAGATTTAAATAACTAGCTACTCGATATTAATACTAACCATGATGTTTTTTTCAGTCAAACAGCCTCCCTTTTGCTGATGTCCGCGTGTGAGTTCAGAGTATAGCAATTTATGGCGTCATTAGCAGTCGCCGCGATCGCCGCAGGATGACCTCATCATTTCGCGCGGTATTTTGCGTGCACTGCGTCCCTTCCGGTGAGCTGTTCGTAAGTACTCCGAAGGTACAAGTAGTGTCTATTTACACATTGAATAACCTGTCTACGATATAGGGTGATTGAAAAGCAGCGGTTACCGAGGGTGTAAGAAGATTCTCGCATGTTTTATCTGCAGCTATAGCAAGTATCGTGGCTTTAATAATTACCGTAAGCAGGCTGATTTCAGTTTATTATACGTTTGTTAGCTAAGCTAGAAACTAATAGGTAACCACTCGGTATTAGTGATCAGTAACTTCTATGCTGATTCTTTATGTTTTTGTCTTTTATTTTAGTTTTCTTTACGTAGACAACTACTCTTTCCCGTCGCCGTTTCCAGGGAAATCTTTAGCTCGTAAGTTCGCTGGATATTGTTATATTTTTACTTTCGGTAACACACTGATAACTGTTTAGGGGCAGATGTATGGGGTGCCTGTGAGTTTTAGTCGATAAAGTGCGAGATATGATTTGATATGACGTGCCAACGGCATTATGGCATGGCTTTAAACGGGTCACTTACAAAACGCGATTTTAACGGGGGTTGTGTGTGTCCTGCGTTTGCCATACGCGGGCGTCGGCGCGATGTTGAGGTGGGCTGGGGACATGGGGGGTGTGTCCTGTGTTGTGGGTCTCCTTGTATTAAAGTTCCTTAGAATACTCTACCCACAACGATCTCGGTTACGCGCACGTTCAGCCTGTGGATTCTTGCCCGCCGTGGTCCATCAGTAGTTGTCCCGCAACAAGGGGTCATATGCAAATCACTGCAGCTGCACCGCATGTCCTACCTCTACAGATGTTGCAAGGGACAGCTAGTAGATGTGAATTATGACTGCAAGCGCAACTTCCTTCCGTAGATAACACTGACACTCTCTCCGCGGGGTAACATGAGAAACCTCTAGCATTGGTGGTGTACATTGCTGCAGCGGAGCAGTATCGCGAGGTAAAAGGGGGAGACACTTGCACCAATGTCATGAAATGAGTCATGAGTGATAATGGTTTCTTTTTGACACTGATACAAGGTGTATCATTTACAGGGCAAACATTCAGACCCCCTCTTTTTGCAGGGGAACCAGGCAGTGATGCATGTATATTAAATTTCTCCAGATTACATGTCCTGCCCCATTACGCACCACTCGGCCAGCATGACGACTATAAATATTGATGCCTTCCGTGGCCGTAGCGCGGCTCCTCTTTCTGGTGGGCCGTGTCACGTCGTTGGGTTTCTGGGAAGGCGTGTGTGATCCCCAGTGTGTGTGTGTCTGTGACATTCGATACACTTTCACATGGCGTGCACTAGAAGGCCGGCCTCTTGTTTTTTCCACCCCTCCTCCTCCCCGAAGGTCATTCACGGAGCCGGAGTCGCTGGTACCCGGTCGGCAGGGGAGGGAAGCCGCCGTGCTCTCCGTCTTCACATGGGGCTCGTTTCCGCTCTCTGAGAGGAGTCCCAGCCCGAGGCTGAGGATGGTCCGATGGACCGCCGCTTCCTGCTGACCTTCGCCTTCTGCTCGTTCTCGTGGATCCTCTTCTGGGAAGTGCGCTGGAAGAAAGGGAAGGAGGGACAGATCGAGGAATGGCTCCAGGAGCACGGCCTCGCTGAATACAGGCACTTATTTGAAGGTTAGTTTTCTTGGCAACAGTTTTAGGAGCTGCTTAAAAAGCTGGTCCCATGGGGGAGTTGAGACCTGGTGGCACAGGTGCTCGGGCAGCCGTCCCGTGAAGTGACTGATCTGCTGCCTCACCCTGTCGGCGCACGGGAGGCAGCGATCTGGGGCCCCGTTGGTGGCACTGACCCATTTTCCTCTGGGATGTTTTGTCAGGCCCACAGACGGGAGAAAGTTGAGGACAGTCCCTGCTGTGCGAGGCATGGTTTGGCGGGCGCTCTTAACCGGGGTCGACATGGCTGGGTTTGCCTCATGCCCGGAAATGCATGACTGATGTAGGGATAGATAGCAGTCCCGAGGGAAAGGATGAGACAGGGATCGCAAGGACACAAGCAGTGGTGTCAGCTGTTTGCCGGCATTGGATATTCCACTGACCAGCATGTTCTTCCTCTTGTAAAGAGCAGATGACTTTCAGTCTTTAATAGCCTCTCAATGTTACTATAGTCCTCCTTATTTCAATGGGCATTTACAATAGCTTCCAGCCTGGGGTGTTTGTAATTGAATGACTTGTCACTTGAAATTCCCCCCCAGTTTGGTGATACTGTACTGTAGACGTCACTGTCCGTGTCGGGTGTCATTGTCGCAGCCACAGGCAGGAAGTGTCATGCTCGCATTTCAGTGGCTGCATTACTGCACTAGCTGCCGTGCGCCGGCTGATCGGTGAACGGGGGCCGCTGCATTTTAGGGCTGCCGACGTCGTGGCTACAGTCTCGTGGCTGTTTACTGGGTTACTGTGACAGAAGCATGCTGCTGGGTCATGGGGCCGTGCTCCTAATTTCTGTGGTAGGGACGCCGACGGCGCGTGGAGTCTCAGGCCTGACCTCATTGCCCCCTCTCTAGATGTGCACACCCTGGAGGAGCTGAGCCTGCACATCCTGGCCCGTCTGGAGGAGGTGGAGAAGGAGCGTCAGCGCTGGCCGGACATCGCCGAGGCCCAAATCCAGCTGCTCAGGGACTTTGCCTTTCAAGAGTGGCTCTGCTGCCAGAGCTTGGAGCACTACTATCACACGTGAGCGGGGGCTGCCGCCGGCTGGGGGGCTGATTTGGAGGTGGATGTGTGTTGTGTCCTCTGATAGTTTAGCACTGTAGCGCAGTGCTTTGAGTGCAGCTGTAGAGGACTGCTGACCAGTCGTCATTGAAACGGCACAATCATCATGTATGATGATAAAAACTACTACCAATATTTTGCATTTGTTTGTGGTAGTAAGTCCTGGCAAAATCCTGTTTAGTTTCAGGAAGCAAGTCTGTGTTGGCATATCCGTTTATAATGAGGCGTGAAAAGTGATTTTGGTGGTTTGGCCACTAGAGGGCAGCTGATCCCCATTTATGGCTGAGTGAGCTGGGTGACATTGAGCTGAGTTGCCTTTCTGTGCTCTCCATGGGCGCACCGGTGGGTCATTCAGGGCTGCACGCAGCTCCAGCTGCCGCAGCGCTCCAGCCGCTCGCTCGCATTATGCAGCAGTCCTCCTGCACCCCCTAAACGCTGCCTTGGGGTGACAGAGCCTATTGGACATGTGGGCTCCCATTCTGTGAAACAGCATTACAGGGTCTCGCTGTTATGCCAGTTACGCTCTCAATGTACCACGGAGCTTTTGGATGCCAGATTGTGTGTGAGGCATTAATGAACCGCAGCAATCTCTGAGCATATGGCTGTCATAGGGATCTGGTTCAGGAACACGCCTTCATGCCGTCAGAGAAGACGTGGGATCTTTTGATGCCCCCGTGACTGACGAGCTGCTGCTTGTGGTTCCCCTTGTGCAGAATGTCGAGGGCAGATTCTCACGTGGTTGGTGTTACTGCCCTGATTTGGGACCCCAGAATTTACAGTCCGCTTGGGAGCCCCCCCCTGCCACTGTAGTTTGTATTTCTTGGAAGTCTGTGTCAATCTGCTGGCCATCTCATCCATTTTTTTTTATGTTTTCTGGCTGCTTTGAAGACTGAAGACCCTTGGTTGCACAAATCTGGATGATTTAGCCAAATTCGACAGCCGGCTGCAGCTCTCACTGGCTGCTTGGGGATATTACTACGAGGATTATATCAAGCTGTCTTCTGGCGTGAAAGTCCTCCAGGCCTCTAAGGGGCACCGCGACCAGGATTACGAGATCCAGCTGGTACACAGCCTGGCAGAGAGGAGGCTGACTGAGAAGTGGTCGATAGGTGAGCTCCGCGGCTGGCGAGCCGCTCGGCTGCACATTGTGAAATCGTTCAAAATGTCGTGCGGTACGAGGAAGCTGACCGTGCTTGTCGTAAGTTACCTCGGAGTTTTAAATTTCCAAAATGGATTAACTTAAAGTTAAGACACTTTACAGTGTTCTAATTAAAATTGCCTGTTACTGCCGCCTTTGAAGTGCTTTGGGCTTCCTGGCTGGTTTGAGTAGCTCAGTATGTACTTTCGCTGATATTAACCAGCTGGGCGTCATTCCAGGGGCAGAGCGTCTGCATGCCAGACCTCAGCTGTACGGGAAGTGCCTGGCGTGATGGATGGATTGCCCTCTGGATTCTCCAGCCGCTCACCATGTTTTGCGTTTTTTTTTCTTCTTCCAGCGGGGGCTCTGATATTCGGCTGTACCATTGCTCTTTGCTTCCTGATAAGAGACCTCATGTTTTACGTGATTGGTGAGTTGGCAAGGAGACATTGGAATAATGTGATAAAATCGCAGGGTGTGTTTTTTTTTTTCCGGGTTCATGTCGTCTTACTGTTTCCGTTTCCGCCTAGGCGGAATTACCGTGTCTATCATAGCGTTCGTCTTCACCATCAAGTTCCTGTGTGAGCTTGCTGCCCGGGTGGTCAGCTTCTTGCAGAATGAGGACCGGGGGCGCCGGGGCGACCGCAGCATTTATGACTACGTGCGGGGAAACTACCTGGACCCCCGCTCCTGCAAGGTGTCCTGGGACTGGAAGGATCCACAGGAAGTGGGCCAGACCATGACCTTCCGCGTCCAAGTATGCCATCACAGCCATTCCAATATATCACTGTTTGCCAATCCGGTCCTTGTGGACCCACAGACAGTTCATGTTTTTTGTGGGGAGCAAAATTGTAGGGAGGGAGCAAAAACATGGACTGACTGTGGGTCCCCGAGTATCAGGTTGGAAAACATTATTTCAGACTGTCACTCTGTGTACCCAACCCCAGCAACGTACAATTTTGGGTCACACTTTACTGGGGGGGGTCACAAATAATGCAGTAGTACACTCTTACTTAATGCATTAATTAACCAGAAAGTAGGTGCAGGTTACGTACTGATCCCATGTTCATTCATCATTAATTCCTAATAACGGTTCAAGTATTTCATGAAGTTACTATATTTATTCATGATTTGTACTTCAGTAATTATTATTAAGTTGCTTGTGGCTCCTCAAGTAAAGTGTTACCCAACTTTGTTTGCTGTGTAATGGCTTCCATGTGCCGCAGTGGGTGGGATTATCGTACTCGTCGGTCTAGTTCAGCCTATTTCCTGTTAGCCGTTTCACTTATTTCAGGCTAAAACAAGCCGCGTGTTGTAATGTCGTGGGTTTGGAAGCCTCATTTCCCCCCATGATGATGCACCCAGCTTGAATTTAATGCATTGGAAGGTCACATAAATCGGGTGCAGCACTGCTGTTGGACATTTGGTGGGACATCACAGCACTTCATCCTCGCCCCTCCTCACCCCCAGCTGTTCTATAAGAATGGGCAGCCGTTCCCGGCACACCGGCCCGTCGGCCTGCGGGTCAGCATCACCCACATCGAGCTGGCCCTGGATATCCCCGTCACCCAGGAGGTCCTGCAGGAGCCTGAGGCCAACGTGGTGAAAGTGGCCTTCACCGTGCGCAAGGCAGGCCGCTACGAGGTGGCCGTCAAGCTGGGGGGCCTAAATGTGGCCTACAGCCCCTACTACAAGATATTCCAGCCGGGTATGTCTCTCTCATCAGATTCTGTCTCTGCCGCATCTCTTATGCTGATCATGTTAATATATCAGGACTAGGTTTTACTCATTGCCTGCTATGGTCTGGCATCTTGCCTGGGGTGTATCCCTGTTTTGTGCTCTACCCTCCTTGGGGAGTATAGAGCTGATGTGCCTAGGATAAACAACCAGGATAAACAACCAGGATAAACAACCAGGATAAACAACTAGCAAATCGATTAATTTTACCTATAGGAGACTGATGGTACATAGGAAGTTATCATAGTTATGTTCACGCATTTTGGGATCCTGCATGCTACTATGGGATGGCAGCGGCAGAACTGCAGGCCTGACAGCTTTTAAAGATTAAAGTCAGACGAGTCATCATCTGGGGGAAGTAACGGGGTGTTTTGCTGTAAGTGCTTTTTTCTGCTGAGAAAATGCCTGCACTGTAGGATTTTGGTGGAATGAACACCCCCCATATTGCTGTGGTTTGCTGTTATTGTAGGCGTGGTGGTCCCATCCAAAACCAAGATCGCGTGCCACTTCTCCACCCTGGTGCTAACCCACGGCCAGCAGCACACCCTGCAGATCGAACCCCGCGACGAGTACGGCAACCCCACCAGCAACTCCACCTCGCTCGCCGACGAAGACAGCTACGGGGCGAGCGTCCAGCCGGTGAGGGAGCCTGGGCCTCCGTGGGGCCCCTGGGGTTGCAGCAGGCTTCCTGTACCATTTGCGGACCGATTGACCAATCGAGGCTTCACTTGCCACCTATCTTAAAAATAACTTGTGGGTTATTTCACTGCCAAGCTCCCATGGGGCCTTGCAGCTTTGCAGCTCAGTGAGGGCAGGCTGCAGGTGTGCAGTCCCGGGCCCAGGCCAGATGGCTTATCGCACGGACACCGAATGGGAGCATTCACAAGGTGTTTGCCTCCTCTCTGGTCCCTGCAGCTGGATTGTACTTGCTGGTCCTGGCAGCCGAACACCATAGCCAGGCTTCAGGTCCCGTGGCAAACGGGTGGTATGGAGTCTGTGCTTTCTGTTGTGTCACTTGAGCAGGCGAGCGTACAAACGACCCTCACTGAGGCTGAGGATGGCGTCCGTGTTCATCCTCGGGGTGCGTGATGGTGACTCCCTGTGTGTCCCCCCCCCAGCTGGGCACTCAGGACGAGGACAGCCCGGAGGACTTCTTCAGCAAGTCGGTGTCCTCCAACCGGCTGCAATGCCAGGTGCAACTACACCTCACCGTCAAGAGGAAGGGCTGCTTCCACGCCCGCATCACCTACCAGAACCAGCTGCTCAGCAACGGCGAGTTCGACATCATCGTGCTGAGTGGTGCGTGCGCTGGATGGGGCGGAGTCTCATCACACCGGCGGGGTGTTGGGTTACGTCCAGGAAAGCCCTGCTTCTCGGAGAGTCGCTGCATGTAACGTGAGGCCGGGGGAGAGTGGCAGGGTGACACGGTTTATTCTTGTCCTTAAGACGTCATGTTGTTATCCGTGTAAACACACTCGTCGATGCTCAGAGGAAACAAAGTGTTTGTTCAAGTGTAGCTTTAATCCCGCCGTCGGTAACGCGGCGGCCGGTGAGCGATGCCGAGGACACTGAGCGAGATGCCGCCCGTCTCTCCAGAGAACGAGAAGAACTGCGTGGAGAAGTACGTGTCGACGCCGGGCACTAGCGTCTACTTCGAGGCCTACCTCTACAGCACGGGCAACTATAGCACCTCCACCTGGCAGCTTCCGGTATCGTCGCTGCTGGCGCCGCAGAGGCGGCCGTCCACGGCGGATGAGGAGGACGACCGCGACTCCCCTGTGGAGGGCCAGCCGGAGAAAGTGAAGAAACCAAAAAAGGTCTATTGCTACATTTCGCCAAAGGTTGGTGATCTTGGTCCCCGTCACCGTGCCGTTTGGTGCTGACCCATTGCGCGCTGGTTCTGATGGGCTCCCTTAACCTTATATTGACACCTGATGTTCAGGTTCTGAATGGAGCAGCCAGCCCTCTTATTGGGTCTAGTTTTCAAATGTGTGGTCAGGCCTTTTAAATCACGTTTTCAGCGATTTTTCTTTTTTTTTTCTTTTCTACCCTTTTCTTTAGCAACTATCAGTGAAGGAGTTTTACCTGAAAATTTTCCCCTGGCGCCTTTTCACCTTTCGGGTGTGTCCAGGCACAAAGGTAGGCAGCGACCACGTTGTTTGCGAATGAGAATTCTCCTGCTCTGTTAGCTCTGCCGCAGTTAGTTACCTGTATGAGGCATCAACCATGAGAAAAAAACTCGCTCCGCCCCCCCCCCAGTTCACATACCACGGCCCAGACCCCATCCACAAATACTTGACCCTTGTGGTGGACGATGGAATTCAGCCGCCCGTGGAGCTGAGCTGTAAGGACCGCAACATCATGGCCGCCACCTTCATCCGCTTCCTCCACAAAAACATTGGTGAGTCTGAGCTTCTGATGAACTCAGTGGGTGATGGAACCTTGGAGCAGTTTGTGCCAGCTGGGAGAGCGGGAGTTATCTGTGTGGTTTGTGCTCATAGCCTGGATCCCAGCCTGCTATGATGACAGCCTTGTCTGTCTGATCCTCAGGAGGTTCGGAGACCTTCCAGGACAAGGTGAACTTCTTCCAGCGTGAGCTCAGGCACATCCACTCCAAGCGACCTCGCACCAAGACCTGCCTGAAGGTGGTCCGGCACGTCCTCCTGGACTCGGTGAGTGGAGACCTCTTTGTGGCAGGTAGACCTGCTTTGCTCAAACCTAGTCAGCTTTGGTGGGACGCACTTTCAAGTTTTTAATTGTTGTTAATCCTTCTTTTTGATTCTTTTCCCAATTGTTGTGGATTTCCTTCCCCCACAAGTCTCTGAAAGCCACCAGAAGCTTCTCCGTGTCTGACTGGAGTAAGAACTTCGAGGTCGTGTTCCAAGATGAGGAGGGTGAGTGGATTAGACCGCCGGTGGGTGTGAGTTTGAGGTCCGTTTCTGCTCATGGGGTGAGTGAGTTGTGGGTAACAGGCTGGTTAAGGAACAGACATGGTACTTAGTACAGTACAGTCTCAACATCAATGGCACTTTTGAAGTCTCGCCTTTAATCTCCCTAAATGAGTGTTCATGTTTTTGTGGCTGATTCCAAGAGTGGCCACTAGAGGGCCTGTATGACATTATTCTGCATTTTGGTTCTCCAGCAGTCTTCATTCACGTGTCTCCCAGCATCTGGATAAAGATAGTGTGCTATAAATTTCATAGTGTTTCATTGCCTTGGAAAGTACCGAATCTTAATATATTTTTGTACAAGAGATCTTAAAATGTGTTCTATAACCCACTGAATGCCTAAGACCTTAACCTGCAACACATGTGGGTTGTATTAGCTGATAAAATAAACAGAAGCTGGTCACGTCACCTGTCTGCCGTAACTGCCGCCCGCAGCGCTGGACTGGGGGGGGCCCCGCCGGGAATGGTTTGAGCTGATCTGCAAGACGCTGTTCGACACGTCCAACCAGCTCTTCACACGCTTCAGTGACAGCAACCAGGGCCTGGTGAGAGACCCCCCCCCCCCCTCCTATTCCCCTATTCAGTCGATGTCCGACTTTGAAGAATGCAAATAGGACGCAGCCTTGATGGCAGTGCCTCCCCCCCAATGGTGGTTGGGTTCCCATACAAGGAGGATGTCAGACATGGACAGCAGCCAGTTTCTGTCCTCAGGTGCATCCGAACCCGGAGCGGCCGGCCTACCTCAGGCTGAAGGTGTATGAGTTCGCCGGTCGGGTGGTGGGCAAGTGTCTCTACGAGTCGGCGTTGGGGGGCGCCTATAAGCAGCTGGTTCGGGCTCGTTTCACCCGCTCTTTCCTGGCCCAGATCATCGGCCTCAGGATGAACTATAAGGTGAGCCGGACTCGGGGGACTCTGCACTTGCGTTTCACCTTAATGATTAACCGGGAATCGGGAGTGTTGTGCCCGGTCCGCGGAGCCGTCCGCGCGGGTCGCGCTGCGGCTGTTCGTACAGAGCCATCGCAGTCCGAGCTTCGCAGTCGTCATCAACTCCTGTGACACCAACGTTTTGTTTATTTGACCTGCCGTCAGCTCACACACTTCCCCGCCGCCCTTTCCTTTCAGTACTTCGAGACGGATGATGAGGAGTTCTACAAAACCAAAGTCTCCTTCATCCTAAACAATGACGTCAGTGAGATGGACTTGGTGTTCGCTGAGGAGAAATACAACAAGTCAGGCCAGCTGGAGAAGGTGGAGTGGCATGTCTCTGATGGGCCCCCGCTTTGCCGGCCTCTCATTGGCATCCTGTACAACCCCAAACTCATACCAGTGATTTTACAACCAGCTCTGAGTGGTGGTTTATTTTTAATGGCGAACAGAACCCAAATTAAGGGAAGGTGGTTTGCCTGGGGCTCCTCTGGTGGTTTTTCTGCGTGTGTGAGAGAGATGTGTGATTGGACGGCGTCTTGTGGTCATTCCGCTTGAAGGTTGTGCAATGACTGGGTGACGACCTCTTGCCGCTAGGTCGCATGACTAAATCTGAACAGTAATTCTTGCACTTTGCAAAACAAGCAGGTTTAGGGAAGAAGTTTACCATGTTTAAGATTCGACATTTCAGTATAAGGGAAGATTTTCCAAAGCTGGCGAATGATCTTGGTGTGGTTGTGTGTGGGGGTGTGGGTGTGTGTAGGTGGTCACCAAATGTCCCCACAATGTGATAACCTGATATTTTCAACATTGTGGGGAGCATTTCTTTGGTCCCCACAAGGAGAAACTGAATTGTATAGTAATCTGTGACTGCAATCAAAAATCTGAAAATGCCAAAAGTCTCATATTTTGTTGCGTGTGTGCCTATGCGTGTGTGCCCGTGTGCCTCACCTTTATCTTTGCTCGTGCAGGTTGTGGAGCTGATTTCTGGAGGCGCCCAGATTGCAGTCACCAATGAGAACAAGATGCACTATCTTAACCTCCTAGCCCAGCACAGGCTGGCCAATCAGGTGCGAGATGAGGTGGAGCATTTCCTGAAAGGTAAGGGATCTTCCGGCCGGATGCCTTGGATCATCTGGTGGATCATGGGCCATGTCTGCCCCCTCGAAGACCTGCTGACCGGCGTCTTTTGTTTTTTGCAGGTCTAAATGAACTCGTTCCAGAAAACCTCCTAGCCATCTTTGATGAGAATGAGTTGGAGGTATGTCAGGATTCCAAGTTTAATTACAAACAGCCTTTTCAGCTTGAGTGTTAATGGCCTGGTCATTAACATTGGTGTCGAGGTCCTCTGGTGGTGACTGATGTTGCTTTGTGTTTCCTTAGCTACTGATGTGTGGCACAGGTGACATCAGCGTCCAGGACTTCAAAGCCCATGCTGTGATTGTCGGTGGCTCATGGCATTTTAGGGAGAAGGTGGGGTAGCGCCCTCTCTTGTCACTTGGGCAACAGCCATCCCATAATAAGGTGCAGGTGTGAAGGACTGCTGATCTGCTCCTCCGCAGGTTATGAAGTGGTTCTGGGCTGTGGTGTCCAGCTTTACCCAGGAGGAACTGGCTCGTCTTCTCCAGTTCACCACGGGCTCTTCCCAGCTCCCCCCCGGGGGATTCAACACACTTTGCCCCTCCTTCCAGATCATCGCCGCCCCCACCCATAGCACGCTGCCCACCGCCCACACCTGGTGAGTCCCTTCCCGGTGCTCGTTCCTGATTGGTGGACGTCTTTCCTATACGTGATAAAAACCCATAATAATCTGTGATCCTGATCCTGTACTGAGGCTCATGTGACGTTGTGGTTCCTCCTTAGTTTCAACCAGCTGTGCCTGCCCACTTACGACTCCTATGAGGAGCTACACAAAATGGTGAAGCTGGCCATCAGCGAGGGGAGCGAGGGCTTCGGCATGCTCTGAACTGCCCTGTTCTCGGGGGGGGGAGTTCCCCCGGATGGCGGCCCCTGCGGGGCCCAATCCCCCCACTCCCTCTGCCAGGCAGACTCCTGGACGACTCGTGATCCTTCACCAGAGCGCCACAGGAAGGCCGGTGAACGCTTTTGCGCTGTGAAGTGCGCATGGGCGTTACCTGTATATACAGTTTCCTTTTTCTTTTTGTACTGGCACAGAAACGGACGGCCCTGGGCAGGCAAGAGGGACCCTCAGTGGAGTTCTGTTTGTAGATGGTAGAGATGTTTTGAGCTGTATGCCTGTGATTGTGTGGGTGTCCTGTGGAGGTCCTGAGTGTTTCAGATGTGGCAGGATTCCATCCCCGGTGCTCCAACTCCTCGCCGAGCCACAGACTTCTGACCCAAAGGTGGCAGGTTGGCGGAAATGTGGCTGCTGGTGTGCTTAGGGGTGGCCTGACCTTCAGCAGTCAGGGAGGGGTCTGCTTTTGCTTGTTGGACAAACCTCCATCACTGCTGGGATGCTGACGTCTGATTCTTTAATGTTTTTTGTACCTGTGACTGGGAAAGGGACCTGCGGGGACTGGGAAAGGGCAGGACCTCATGCCCTCGTACCTGATCCCTTCTCCTGTTTAAATCTGAACAGTAATTCTTGCGCTTCCCAAAACAACAAGCAGATTTGGGAATGAAGTTTGCCAAGTTTAGGATTCAGCATTTCAGTATGAGGGTAGAATTCCTGAAGCTGGTGAAGGATCTCATCCGGCAGAGCGATGGCATGCTTAGCAGTGTGGGCTGTAAAGGTAAGGGTATTTTTTTAAAGCCATGTTCTTTTTAGGATGTTTCTGTTTTGTTAAATTCTGCCTTTTTTTGCCTGTGTAAGGAAATACGACTTCAAAGGAAGGATTTATATGTTAGGGTACTGTGAATAGTACTGTAATACTTTGACTGGGGTGCGACAATAATGCACTTAAATTTCAAGCTGTGAAAAGGTCTTTTTTGTAATTTTCTTCAGTTTGGGACCTAATATGATTTTATTATTTTTTGTATCAACACCAAAGTTTGTACCTATGTTTGACCTCTGAACCTCTTATCCATCCATGCAGTCTGGATCAGTGGGTTCCTAATCACGGGATGCCAAGGGTTAAATATTTCTGTGAGCTGATATGTATCATATTTCACTTTGTGTTCTTGTTCTTCTAATGACTGAGAGCTCCAGGAGTCTGCACAAATGATTCAGGGGGTTCTGATGCTTCTGTAGAGCATATCGTCGCTCCCTTACAGCTTCTCCTCGCCTTTGGTTCCTCATTCTATGTATCCGATGTTCTGTGGACATTTCCTCCTAAAATGGTACAAGTAGATCCCTCCTCGCATAGTTTTAGAAGCACCAAATCGCCCGGTGCAGGAAAGACTGAACGTGGGCGTGGTACACGTCAGCATTAAAGATATTTATAAAAACGACATACTTGCTAAATGCTTGAAGATATTTATGTGACCTTGCTGGTACGTCTGTCGGCAGACAGGCTAGTGGTCTTACACACCAGTCGCCGTGCCTCGTGGTGTGAATGTAGTGCTTTTGGACTTGGGGAGGCTCCAGCGAGGTCCGCTCCTCCTCTCTGTGGACGGCACTGTCCTTCCCCAGGATCGGCGCATCCATTGGGGGCCATTTGAAAATCCAGTCCTGTGTCTCCTGGGCCACGTTTGCACTTTTATCCAATGATTACTCCCTTTACTGCAAGCTAGCACTTTCTCTCCCCCCCCCCCACTGACCACCCCCATCACCACCATAAGCTTCATAAGCTACAAGAAGGAATATCTGAATGATGACAGTTTGTTTCCTGTGCCAGGTGTAAGGTGTCCATTTGGGGACCCCCCCCATATTCAGTTGGTCACCCTGTGTGTTTTTGTACAGATTTTTTTTTTTTTAAGAATTCTTTTGTTTCATCGCTTGGCAGCGTGGCTGAATACTTATGTGATTTAGAGCCGTGATGTGTTCCAATGTCATACCGCCGAATTGCCATTTGATTTAAACAAAAAAAAAAATGAAATGATTTTATGCTCTTGAGGCTGTCGCGTGAAGACCTCGACCAAGGGGCGTGACTTGCGCTCAAAGTGAGAGGTCACCAGGGAGAAAGGCAACAATGCAGTCTCACACAGCGGTGTGGTCCCTGAGGGACAGTGACATCACCTCTGCGCGGCTGTCTTTAACTTTCACAGGTTGGCTTTCATATGAAGGTAATTTTCTTCTGTGTTCCGATTCGGACAAGAAGCCTCTGTTGGCATGAACTGGGGGGAGGGGGTTGTTTTAATTCTTGTAAATATTGTGAAATAATTGCCTACGGTGGATTTTTTTTTTATTTTTAATTTTATTACTGTTTAAATTGGGAAATGCTGGGCCATCGCTGGAATGTCGTGGTTGCCTGCAATGCGCCAATGTCCTGATTGGCTCAGGCAGCTCCCTGTCAGTCGTGGATTAAATAAAATAAAGCGGAGGAAACAGAGGCCTGCGTGTGCATGGAGTCTGTCTGTTCTCTGCTCAGTTGTGTGCCCCCCCCGGAAGGTAACCTAAGGAACTGGAAAATTATTGGTCCTAGTTCCAGGACAGCATCCTATAGAAACTTTGAGTGAAATGCTTAAACAATTATTTCAGTAATAATTATCCCCCTCAATTTGTTTTGAGAGCTATGGGCATTTTTTTCCATGATATATTTATGATGGAAGCTGTGCTAATGTATGCTGTACCTGTGGCTTTAGTCCACTTATGGCAGCTCTTCCTTTTGGCCACAAGGTGGTGCACTCGCGTGCAGGTGGATTTGAAAGCGATGCACATACCGTGGAAGTCCGTACAGGATGGACCACCTGGGGCTTTTAAGGCGTCCCATACTCACCTTGGCCTTTAAACGGGGAACAGCTGCTCAAAGATGTGGAGCCATCAGGCAGGCTCCCCCTGGGAAACTCATTACTGATTAACCTGGTTAACCCACCCTGGGCACCCATCTTAGGGGGGGGGGGGGGGGCAGTCAGTGACACCTGTGTTACACATAGGTGGTGGGTTATCTGTTGTAATAGGTGCCAGTTAATAGTTGTTTGTTTCTGTGTGCACATGGAGGGTGATTAATAAAATGAACAATAAAACCTGTTGTGACCAACATTTCATTGATTTTTTTTAAACATCACTTTTGAGCTTTCTACCCCACATGGACATACTTCTTAAGCACGGTTGCATGTCGATGTCTGCAGCAGTTGTTTGGAATCAGAGTGAGTGTAGGCTGTATGTCGATGTCTGCAGCAGTTGTTTGGAATCAGAGTGAGTGTAGGCTGAATGCGAAGTCGTGTTGCTGCTCCTGAGCCCAGGGCGTCTGCTGCTGCTACGCGCTAAACCAGCCTGATTGGAAGCAGACGGGACACCAGGTGACGTCATCGCAGACAGCCAACTGACAGCAACACTTTGTCCTCTCTTCTCCTCTTGGGGTTGGTAACATAAAAAATACTAATACTTTTTTGATGCCCCAATACCTATAAAAGAGGTGGGGGGTGGGATGGGGTAAGTGTTTTGGTAGCACAGCAAAGATCCTGTAGCATTGTGCTTTGTCAGTAGCATCCTGCCACTGGGATAAATGTAAGGCCAACATCCTGCGGGAACTTCGCTTTGGTTTGGCTTCAGGTAAATATGGCTTCTAATACAGCTAACCAACTATTAGCAAGTTAACCACATAAAAATACACAGATTTAATGCTATCTGCTTGCTACTTAGTTTAAATACAGATGTAAGATAGCATGACTCAGGGGTGTTCCATATAGCAGGATTTCTAAGTTAGCTGGGTTAACTTAAGATAGAAGTCATGATTGTCCAGTAGGAATGCTCAATACCTAAACTCTTATTGGACAAATGTGACTCCTAGCTTAAGTTAACCCAGCTAACTGAAAAATCTTGCTTTGTGGAACACCCTCCCGGATTTCTTCATTAGTCAGATGTAAGGATTGTCCAATAGGAACGTCCTCTCTTCCTATTGGACAGTTTTTTTACGTTCGGCATAATTTATCCAGCTAACAGATATTCTGCTTTGTGGAATACCGCCCCCCCCCCCCGATCTCTCAAACCACCCTTGGGAGCAGAATGCAGAGTTGCTCGTTAAGCAGAGAGTGTCCATCATTATCCCTATTAACAGTAATAATGGGGGGGGGGGGGGGGTAGTGTCGCCCATCTGCTAATCAGGGTGGGGGAACATTTTGGAAGCGCTGCCAAGGTGAAGAAGTCCTTCCCGATGGAGAGTTGTGATGAAAACCATTATTACTGTGTGCGGTTTACTGGGACAAAGTGATGAATGAAGCCTTTCCCTGCAGGGTGTTGTTATACTCAAACACCATTTTAACCCCACATTGTCCTGACTGTGAAGTACAACATCTTAAAACACCTTTGGGCTATTTTCTGTAGGCATCTTAACAGGTTTCCCTGTCCATATTTTATTTTGTTATATTTTACTATATTTATAAGAATACAGAATAGCACTGCTGCATAGGGTTATGTCTGTTTAAACTGGTTTAGTTTTACTGAATGGATAACGCACGTTTTCTCACTTCTGGGAAGAATGCTTAATTTGTCCACCAGAGGGCAGTAAAAATGCAAGCAAATGTCAAAACCCCTTAAGCTGTCAGCTGTTTTTCTGTCACCCCCCCCCCCCCTTTCACCATTGACCTCTGGGAACCTTTTGCCTACTAAAGGCTGGGGCTTCTCCTGCCAGTAGACCCAGGCAGTTTGTTTTCTTATTTTCCCCAAACATGCCGAAAGAAGATGAAAAACGTCATACACAAGTTCTTACAGTAACAGTTGTCCATTATTTACTCTCCTTGGCCAGACGCACTTCATTACTGTTTAAAAATAAATACGCCTCCTTCTGAGAATTAGATTTGCAACCCTCTGCCTGCTACCTAATCCTGTCAACCCATTAAACTTCCCTCTGTACCTTGGCTTGGAGCTCCTCAGTCTGTCGGCCATTACAGGCCAAAGAGGACACAAATAAGACAGCAAGGCAATTTGCTGGTGTGAGAAAAAGATCTGAAGCCAAATTCTTCATGCATTCTCCCAATTTTTGCTCTTTCTAGCTACATCATAACTTCTTAAAGTGCTCCTATTGCTTGACAAACCAGACTGTAATTGCTGTTGGGTTGTTATTCTCTCTGACTGTATGATGGAGTCCACTTGATGGCCGGCAGCAGAGAGCGGGAGGGACGGGGGACGGACGTCAACACAGGGTTTCAGCATCAGGCGGTGGTGGGTTTTGTCGCTCTGCTCTGTACAGCATAGAGGCTTGTGGGCTGCTGACTGGTGAGTGGTGCTCGATTTGCCAGGGGAGGGATGGAGAAGGCTTGGGGAGGGATGGAGAAGGCTTGGGGAGGGTCGAGGGTTACAGCTTGCCAGGCTTTTAGAAGGAAGGGCGTTTCGGGACACAGTTATTCATCTGGGACGTTCAGGAGGATGCTCACCCCCCATGCCTGAGGAACATCATGGTGTCCAGGGAATTCTCTCTTGAGCAGGAAGTCCGGCCCGTTGTCCTGCCTGGCACCGGTGAGGCTCATCACTCGCTGAGCGAATTCCATTCAGGCTCCGTCAGCATCGCCTGACACCAGTGAGGCCCCCCCATCTGTCTCTCGCTCAGCAGAGTGACTAAGGGGGACAGCAGGCTGTTCTCGCTAGATTACTGCACGATGACTCAGGACACTATTGAACCGCAGGCTTTAATCTCGCATAATGACCGTTTATCTTCCGCACTCAAATTGGTTTTTGGACGGTTTGGAAATGCATTGCACATTTTCAATAAATTTATTTGCGTTGCCAAATCATTTTTATTGCCTGTAAATGTATTTTTTCTTTCCTGGGGGAGTTTGCTTACAAGCGATCTTGGGCATGGGCAGATTGGCTTTGCTGAACCAGTTCTTTCAGCTGCCCGATTGGCTCACGCTAGTCTGCCCGTCATGCGATGTTTGGGAGCGTAACGTCTTACCCCAAGAATCAGATTAACATTTGAGGCAGTGGAATTTGAGCAGAACACGCAACAAACAAGAAAAAACCTTTGCTGCAAAAATTTGGACTTCACGTTTTAACCAGCCTTAATTCAATTCATAACAATTACATTGCATTTACTCTACAGAAAGTGAATTTTCCATTGCCCAGCACACAGCAGTATCAGTTTCGCTTATGATATTGATTTTTTTGTGTTTGATGTGATTAACATTAATGATTCTTTGTAGATACTGCTGAGGTGACTGCTGAGGGGGGGGGGGGAGACCTCCAGGTCCCTTGGGGCTGACTCCCAGGTGCCCAGGTTGTCTGCTGCCTCATCACGAGAGGCTTCCAGTGGGATGGTGGGGGTGCAAGCTTTCCCCTGGCCCTCCAGACCATGCTCATGTGCCTAGGCTCCCATCCCACTATTGTTGCATGAATGCCGGCGCAAACCATGGCCAAGGCATCTTGAAGCACTTGAAAGGGGGCGGGGCCAGCCCACATTCCCGCCACCGGGTCCTGCATTAGCATAATGGGCCTCCTCCTCGTTGAAATCCCCCACCGCAGGAGTTTGGAAGGTGGGCACCTTAAGGGGAGGGCAAGGATTAGGCTGTGGATCAGGAACCGGGGAAGCGGCCGTGAGATGTTCCTGTGACTGGTGACACCACGCCACACCACCCCGTTTCGCTCCTCCTTAATCCAAGCAGATCTTAACCGGAGCGCCTGTCATCAGGACTTACTGACTTGTGGTTTAGGTGATTCTCCATGGGATTGGGACTGAGAGAACTTCTGAGAAGGTTAATGCGTTTGGACAAACCTGGAGAAGCTTCTGGCAGTGCCAAGTAAATGTCTGAGGCCTTGGGGCTGGATGAGAGTCATCATTTTAGGCTGTACCGTCCCATGAGTATGTGGGGTGTGGGGGGGATGAGGATATATAAGCGGGGGCAGGTTTCTGCCTCTCGGACAGTTCCCAACTGCAGTCATACGGATTACACAATCTGAGTAACACTGTCTTCCCACACCACCCTCACATAGTGGTCTTCCGGGTATATTCAGTGCATTCAGTGCAGTGGTCTTGTGTAGTGTGTGGAATATGAGTTTGCTGTGTGGAATATGAGTCTGGAGTATCTGTGTGATTTGTGTAGTATCACTGAAGTATCTGTGAGCTGTGTGAAGTAGGTAGTGGTATGTGGAGTATGTGTGTGCTGTGTGGAGTATGACTGGAGTATCTATGTGCTGTGTGTAGTATGAATGGAGTATCTGTGCTGTGTGGCGTAGGTCAGTGGTGTGTGGAGTATGAGTGTAGAGTGTCTGTGTGATGTATGTGAGAATTACTTCACTCGCTGACCCAGACAGAAAGAAGGTATTCATCTTCCTCACGAAAAAAAAAAAAACGCTTCATAACAACGTAATCCCATCCCTTCCTTTGCTAAAAGCAGACCTAAAATCCACCGGAGTTTCACGTGTGGCTGGCTGGCCGAGCGCCAGCTGTTCAGACAAG